AGGGTGAGACATCATGTAGGATGGGTTAGAGGGTGAGACATCATGTAGGATGGGTTAGAGGGTGAGACATCATGTAGGATGGGTTAGAGGGTGAGACAATCAATGTAGGATGAGTTAGAGGGGTGAGACATCAATGTAGGCTTTGGGTTAGAAGGGTGAGAGGCATCAATGTAGCGATGGGTTAGATGATGTCTCACCCTCTAACTCATCCTACATGATGTCTCACCCTCTAACCCATCCTACATGATGTCTCACCCTCTAACCCATCCTACATGATGTCTCACCCTCTAACCCATCCTACATGATGTCTCACCCTCTAACCCATCCTACATGATGTCTCACCCTCTAACCCATCCTACATGATGCCTCACCCTCTAACCCATCCTGCACGGTGTCCTGCACCCTCTAATCCACCCTGTGTGGTGTCTTGCAGCCGCTAATCCGTCGTACATGGTGTCTTGCAGTATCAACAGTGTGCGCTCGGCCTCGATGGAGTCGCTGGAGGACAGCGGTTCGCTGGACCGGGCGGCGCGCGAGGACCCCGATCTGAAGGCGAACGAGCACGAGCCCGAGGCGTGGAGTCTCACCGTCGACAAGAAGATGCTGAAGAAGATGAGTGCCAAAGACATCAAGAGACAAGACGTGATATTCGGTGCGTGCGCGGCGGTGGCGTGGGTGTGACAGGACTGTGACCGCATGAGGGATAGTGGGGGTGTACTGTGACTGCAGTGACACATACATGAGGGATAGTGGGGCAGGATTGTGACCGCGGTGACACGTACATGGGGGATAGTGTGACAGGACTGGCTGTGGTGACACGTACATGAGGGAGAGTGTGACAGTACTGTGACCGCGGTGGCAGGTGCATGAGGGATAGTGTGACGGGACTGTGACCACGGTGACACGTACATGACAGATAGTGACAGCTCTTACATGAGCATGCGTGTGAGAAATGTTAGGTTGTATTTGAGTAGAATTGAGTACACTGAGTATTGTGACAGATGGGGGGATATGTGGGTATCATTCTCACTGGTCGTACCTATGTGTGCGGCATATCGAGCAGTGTGCACTGTAGCAGCAGTGCGTGAAGATTACAAGCATATGTGGACACTAGTGTGGCATCGCGTGGCCTATGCGCGTGTCTCGGCTGCTGCGTGTGAGTGAGCGCGCGAGGTAACAGGCGTTTACTTGCTTGCAGAGTTGATTCAGACGGAGAAGCACCACTGTCGCACGCTGAAGGTCATGCAGAAGATATTCCTCGAGCCGATGCGCATCGAACTCAACTTCAGCAATGACATCATCAACCGAGTGTTCCCCAACCTTGATGAACTGCTTGAGCTGCACACAGGTACCTTCCACTTATCTCGCTAGCCACACTCCTATTGCTGTTAGTTACTGTGTTGGAAATAGCACCCCATCTCTCAGGTCGGGACTGGCAACCTTTGCGCAGGACTGGCGGATTTTGATTTGTTTTACAATAGGGTATAACCTATATAACCTATGTTGTAGAAATTATAATTTCGAAATTAGGACAGGCTGGTTAGTCAGACATATTCCTCCATGATTGGCTAGTCTGTGTTTCAGCGCATGTATGCCATGTGTTTCAGCGCGTGTCTGTCGTGTGTTTCAGCGCGTGTCTGTCGTGTGTTTCAGCGCGTGTCTGCCATGTGTTTCAGCGCATGTCTGCCATGTGTTTCAGCGCTTGTCTGTCGTGTGTTTCAGCACGTGTCTTCTTTGTGTTTAAGCGTGTGTCTGCCGTGTGTTTCAGCGCGTGTCTTCTATGTGTTTCAGCGCGTGTCTGTCGTGTGTTTCAGCGCGTGTCTGCCGTGTGTTTCAGTATGTGTCTGTCGTGTGTTTCAGCACGTATTTGTCGTGTGTTTCAACGCGTGTTTCCCGTGTCTTTTAGCACGCGCCTGCTGTGTGTTTAAGCGCGTATCTACTGTGTGTTTCATCGCGTGTCTGCCGTGTGTTTCAGCGCGTGTCTGTCGTATCTCTCAGTGCGTGTCTGCCATGTGTTTCAGTGCGTGGCCCCCGTGTGTTTCAGCACGTATTTGCCGTGTGTTTCAACGCGTGTTTCTCGTGTCTTTCAGCATGCGTCTGCTTTGTGTTTAAGCACGTGTCTGCTGTGTGTTTCAGCACGTGTCTGCTGTGTGTTTCAGCGCATGTCTGCCGTGTGTTTCAGCGTGTGTCTTCTATGTGTTTCAGCGCGTGTCTGTTGTGTTTCAGCGCGTGTATGCCGTGTCTTTCAATGCGTGTTTCCCATGTCATTCAGCACGCGTCTGTTGTGTGTTTAAGCGCTTGTCTGCTGTGTGTTTCATCGCGTGTCTGTCGTGTGTTTCAGCGCGTGTCTGTCGTGTCTTTCATTGCGTGTTTGCTGTAGTGTGTTTCAGCGCGTGTCTGAGTGTGTTTCAGCGCGTGTGTTCCGTGTGTTGCACGTGTCTCCTGTATCTTTTAGCGCGTGTCTGCCATGTGTTTCAGTGCGTGTCCCCCGTGTGTTTCAGCACGTATTTGCCGTGTGTTTCAATTCATGTTTCCCGTGTCTTTCAGCATGCGTCTGCTGTGTGTTTAAGCGCGTGTCTGCTGTGTGTTTCAGCACATGTCTGCTGGGTGTTTTAGCGCGTGTCTTCTATGTGTTTCAGCGCGTTTCTGTCGTGTGTTTCAGTATGTGTCTGCCGTGTCTTTCAGCGCGTGTTTGCCATGTCTTTCAATGCGTGTTTCCCATGTCTTTCAGCACGCGTCTGTTGTGTGTTTAAGCACGTGTCTGCTGTGTGTTTCATCGCGTGTCTGCCGTATCTTTCAGCGATTGTCTGTCGTGTCTTTCATTGCGTGTTTGCTGCGGTGTGTTTCAGCGCGTGTCTGCGTGTGTTTTAGCGCGTGTCTTTGTGTGTTTCAGCGCGTGTCAGCCGTGTGTTTTGGCACGTGTCTGCCATGTGTTTCAGCGCGCGTCTGCCGTGTCTTTTAGCACGTATCTGCCGTGTGTTTCAGCACGTGTCTGCCATGTGTTTCAGCTCGTGTCTCCCGTGTTTCATCGTGTGGCTGCCGTGTGTTTCAGCGTTCCTGCAGAACCTGCGTGAGCGGCAGCGGCACGCGGCCGCCATTGACGAAATCGGTGACATCCTCGTTGAGTTCTTTGGCGGCGCATCGGGTGAGGGTCTGAAGCACGCCTACGGCAACTTCTGCGCGCGCCGGCTCGAGGCAGACGCCGAGTACAAGCTGCTGCTGAAGACCGACCGCAAGTTCCAGGCGTTCGTTGCGGTGAGTCGTGCGTGCTCCTGCAGCTGTTGTTAACGATGCTAAGTGGGAGGGGAGACGTGCCAGTTCATGTTAGTCTTTCTGTCTGTCTGTCTCTCTTTTTTCTTTCTCGTGCGCTCTCTCTCTCTCTCTCTCTCTCTCTCTTTGTCTCTATCTCTTTCTTTCTTCTCTCTCTTTCTCTCTCTTCTCTCTCTCTCTCTTTCTCTCACTCTCCCTTTCTCTAGATCTGCTGTCTCTCCTTGCTCTGTTCTCTCTCGCTCTCTCTCTCTCTCTCTCTCTCTCTCTCTCTCTCTCTCTCTCTCTCTCTCTCTCTCTCACAGGGTGGCAGCACGGTCGCGGGTGTCATGGCGCCGTTCAAATTTCGTAGCGTTGATGTGTAAATAATTAATTAAGTATCTGGTGACAAATACATGTGGGTATAGACGATTTGTTATACAGTAAGTACAGTTGTATGCAGTAAAATCTTAGAGGCTACTGTCCCTTTAAGGTAACGCCAATGATAGCAGTGTTTCATCAACTGACGCTATTCAATAAACACTACATTAATACGAGACGTGCCGTAACCAGATTTAAATGTAAATTAGGCGTCACTTTATCAGTGTCATATCATTATGTCGTCACCTTGTGTCACTGTTGTCACCGTCCTCATAAAAATTGTCGTCACAAGCTTCATCGTCATCATTATTATCATCACCAACCTCCTCCATCATCGTTGTGACCATCATCAACAGTGGCTACACTTGCGACAAGTAAAGTAACATAATGACGAGCATTTAATTGCGGTCAATAGATGTCGCTTCCTTCTCCCGGGTTCCTCGGGTACTTCACAGCCGCATTCGCATGAAATATGTTCCTGGAGGTGGAATGCAGTATCGCACGCGCGATCTATTATAGAGGGCGACATACTGGGTCGACACCGCTTCACTCTCACTCCAATCTCGTTGTCGTCTGACGTCATAGCCGTGGTCACTGCGACCAGTACAAGTGTCGCCACCTGTGTATCAGGGTAAAAGAAAGCGTTACAAACTCAGTTCATGTATCAGCATCGCAAGTTTATCGATGACATTCACTTAACTCGCAGAGGCTGAACCAGATCACTCTCTGACGAAGCGACCGCAATTTCGTGCACTGCTCGCTGTGCGCGACGCCCATCGGAGAATTTTACCAACGTAACCCGGTGACAGGGAAAAGTGAGCGGTAAACGTTAATCCATATTTCACACCCGAGTTTTTCGTAAGAGTGAGTTTATAGGTCTTCTATGGGGGAGGGGGATTTGTGTGACTGTAGTATTCACTATGTCAGGTTAACGTTTATTCCTTTGAAGATGTACGTTTTCTCAGCATTGATAGTCATCAATAATTCACTCCTAACAGATATTCTATTAGTACAGTCGGTTAGGTCAGAATATCATCTAAATCGTTCAAATTGTGAAAAAAGTGTGAAAATTGGTACACTTGCATACTTTTGTATGCTCTTTCATTTAAAAGCATTACCCATCCCTGCCTGCATTACCTGTTCCTGCCTGCATTACCTGTATCTGCCTGCGTTACCTGTTCCTGTCTGCGTTACCTGTTCCTGCCTGCGTTACCTGTACCTGCCTGCATTACCTGTTCCTGCCTGCGTTACCTGTTCCTGCCTTCGTTACGCATCCCTGCCCACTTTACTTGTGCCTCCGAACACACTGGCGCGTGCGGTTCGCTGCGCTAGCAGGTACGGTTGCAGGGTTTTTCGCCTCATGTTTAGTAGCAATTTTACACTTGTTTCGTAGTGCGCGTGGTTAGAGATTAAGACGTGGGAAGAGGTGAGTGTTGTCGTAGCCTCTAGTCTAGTGTATGCTGCTAAGCAGGTAGATGATCAATTAATTGCTGTCTTAGTATGCAGTGAAATGTATTTATTGGTAGCAGGAATGATTGTTTGTTGCTGTACGCTCTATATGGTATTATGAGATAGAAATGATTGTTTGTTGCTGTACGCTGTATGAGATAGTAACAGGTAGATGTGGCAGTGTGTGTGTATGTGTGCGCGCGTGCCTGCATGCATGCATGCGTGTGTGCATGCGCGTACGGCGTTCCATCTTGGGTCAGCACCACGATCAAATACAACAGCGCTGGCTGTTTGCTTTGATGAGACCGACGCAACGCGACAACAGTGACAACGTCGCTGATAAGGCTTGTAAATAAACATCGAGCCGAATGTGTGTAGTCGGTGCGGTGCGGGCGTACATCCAGCAAACATCTGTCCAGCAAACATCAGCGTGTGATCCGACCGTCAGGCGGACAGTGTTGCCTCTGCAGCAGAGTAGCACTGCCGTGTGCGTGCGTGCGTGCGTGCGTGCGTGCGTGCGTCCACGTGAGTGTGTGTGTGTGTGTGTGTGTGTGTGTGTGTGTGTGTGTTCCTGCGTCCGCGTGAGTGTGTGTGCGTGCATGCGTGCGTGCGTGCGTGCGTGTGTGTGTGTGTATGTGTGTGGGGGCGTATGGCAAGGGGGTGGGGGCGGAATAGGAGTGCGAACTGCGCGGGCGGTAATTGTCAATATTTGTGCCATCACGCGTAGATTCGCTATATATCCAAGTTGGGTAGTACGTCTGTAATAACTAGCCACGCATCGGCTTGGCAGCGCGCGCGAGTCGCTCCAGCCGTCGCTGGTCACGCAGGCAGCAACCGACTGAAGTCCCCCTCATCTGTGTGTGACTTCCTCGCGCGAGCGATGCTGGTGCGGTGGCGGCGACGGTGCGTCGTGAAGTGCGGCCGCCTGCTGGGCGGCGAGCAGCAGCGGCGGCTCACGTTCCGACCCAACCTGGATCTGGACTGGGTAGGAGAACTCGTTCCACTCTCGGCCTCTGCCCGGCAGTCAGGGGTGGGGCCAGCGGGGAGGGGGTCACAGAGCCGGGATGTGGGTGACGCTCCATTGCTCATCTCACTCCCTGCGAACGCGGCATATGAACTGCCCGCTGTGTGCCTCCTGAACGGATTCATGTCTAAATTCTGGTTTACGGCGAACAGGATTTCGAATCGGATTTTTCGGAACGACGTCTCTTGTGCAGCATAGTCGTTCATGTGTAAATCGTGAACAGTGTGTTGTTTGTAGGTTTGCATGTTCATATATGTGGGTGTTTGTAAGTCTGTGTGTTCATAACAGTGAGTTCACTTATCGTCAGACGAAGGTCGGTGGGTTCGCTGCTTGTTGGTAAGCGTGTTGCTAGTCGTGTGTTCTATGCTTTATTGCAGCAAGTGCTGAGGAGCATAGACGAAGCGATTGCCTACCATGAGAGACAGAAGCGGCTAGTGGATATCTACAATCGCATTGACTCCAAGTCTGTCGGAATCTTCAAGGGTGGAAGGGGCTTCAAGGTACACGTTGGAGCAGTGCGACCCTTGTAAACATTGTCCACGAACGTTAAGATGTTTGCCGGTCTTTGCAGCAGTATATGACTTCTTATTATATTCTTATTCTTATTCTTCTTATTTCTTATAATATAATATATCATGTAAAAAACTCTTATACGCCTATTAAATTCTGCAAAACGTGTCGCTAACCTGTGTCCGAGAATAATCGTTTTTGTGTTTTGGCATTTTTGGCATTAGCGGCCTATGTGGGGATACACACTGATAATATAACACGCAGATGTTGTCACCAATCTGAATGAGTCGATGTTTTACACGTGCTTTGCAGAAATCGGACCTGCTCTCGGGGAACAGGAAGTTACTACACGAGGGCAGGCTGTACTGGAAAACTGCACGGGGAAAACTCATAGGTGAGTGCTTATCGTGCCCCAAGAATGAGTTGCGATCGGTCTGCTAATCCATTTGCTGTTGGGAAAAAATTAAGCGTGTGGATTTCCGAAAGGCAGCGAGATTCTGATATTGCCGTGATCTAACTTCTAGTAGTGGTGGAGTTAGGCTCTGGTGGTGAATACAGGTAGGTGCCTGCCTGTTCACGCGGGTTCACAGCCATGCACTCATTATTGCAGAGGTGCTAGCGATACTACTGACGGATGTGATCTTCTTTCTACAAGAAAGCAATCAAAAATACCAGTTTGTGTCTCAGGATGGCAAGGTAAGAGAGAGAGAGAGGGAGAGAGAGAGAGAGAGAGAGAGAGAGAGTCATAGGGAGAGGGGAGGGGTGGGGATGCAGATAAACACATATAGAGAGAGATTGATGGGAGTGTTTGAGTCGAGTCACGCCACTGTGTGTTGTAAAGCGGGATTATGTCATTCCGTAAAATGGTAAAAATCTCTGTTGGTAATGATGATAATGGTGGTGATGATGATGATGATGATATGATGACGGTGACGATGACGGTGACGATGAGGATGATGATGATGATGATGATGATGACGGTGATGATGATGATGAGGATGATGATGATGGTGATGATGACGGTGACGATGACGATGACGATGACGGTGATGATGATGAAAGACGATAAGTTATACAAATACATTGATAAATATCGGTTACATAATCATACTGTCGTGCGTCGTTACAGAGCGGCGTCGTGTCTCTGCAAAAGTTGCTCGTGCGTGAGAAGGCGGGCAAGGAGGACAGCTGTGGTCTCTACCTGCTCAGCTCCAACCGCAAGGACCCGGAGATGTACGAGATGGTATGTCCGTCGAACAAGCGCAAGAAGCTGTGGATCGCGTCAATCCGCAGCGCTGTCGAGACCTGTCCGCCCGAAGGTAGGTGTGCAGCGCCCCCTTGTGGTGGCAGCGACGCGTGGCGTCGTTGCCGATCGAGGGTGGTTATTTGTGCTTATGGTGAGGCGAGTGGTGACGAACTAAGATGCTATGCTAGCAGATGAGTGATACTCAGCTACGCATACGTCGTGAGTAAGAGTGGTTATTTTTGTTGGTGAGTGAGCTATCGCCCTGTTAAATATGGGCGGTATAGATACCAGCTGCAACTTGAGCACACACCGGTGTGACCAGTGTTAATGTCTGTTTTGTGCCTGGTGACACCCCGATTGCTTTATTAATGTCAGTTAGTGTCGTGTGAAATTCGGCATATTTTACAGAATGTCTCTGTCTCAATAGTGTAGGTTAGGCGGGGAGAGGTGAGAGGTGTAGATGTAGGGATAAAGGTAGGTGAGGGTTTAGTGTAAGGTGGGTGAGGTAGTGTAAGGTGGATGAGGTAAGTGTAAGGTGGTGAGGTAGGAAACGGGTGCGCTCTGCAGGTAGCTGTACGTAGTGTCCGAGGTGCGGCTAGGGTAGTGTACAGGGGTGGTGGTGAGTAGGCAAAGGTAGGATTAAGTAGTGTAAGGTGGGGTGGTGTTAGGGGAAGGTAGAGAAAAGGTGGTGTGAGGTTTTAGGTGAGGTAGGAAAAGGTTGGTGAAGTAGGGAAAAGTTAAGGTGCAGGTAAGTGGAAAGGTGCGGTGTGAGGACGAAAAGAGTGGGTGAGGTTGGGGAAGGTACGTGAGTTAGTGTTAAGGTTGGTGATTTAGGAAAAGTTTAGGTGAGGTAGGGAAAGGTTTGGTGAGGTTGGGTGGTGTTGGTGTGTAGGAAAAGGTAGGTGAGGTAGGGAAAAGGTGTGGTGAGGTTATGAAACGTAAGGGGAAGGTTTGGTAAGGGTAGGTGTACAGGTGGGTGAATGTAGGAAAAGGTAGGTGAGGTAGCGGGGAAGGTTGGTAAGGTAGGGTGGAGGTAGGGAAAGGTAGGTGGAGGTAGTGAAGGTTGGTGAGAGTAGGAAAAGTGGTGTGAGGTAGGGGAAGGTTACGTGAGTTTAGTGTAAGGGTGGGTGAGGTAGGGGACAGGTAGGAAAAGGTGGGTGGGTAGAGTAGGTTAGGGAAAAGGTTGGTTGAAGTAGGGAAAGGTAACGGGTTGAGTAGTGGAAGGTTGGTGAGGTACGAAAAGGTGGGTGGAGGTTTGGGGAAGCGTACGTGAGTTAGTGTTAAAGGTTGGTGGGTTTAGGAAAGGTAAGTGTGAGGGTAGGAAAAAGGTTGGTGAGGGTGGCTGTCGGTGGTGGTGATGTGAGGAAAAGGTGTTAGGTGAGAGTAGATGGGGTAAAGTGAGTGAGGTGTAGGCAGTATGGAAACGTAGGGGAAGCGTTGTAAGGTGTGTGAGTGTTGATGTAGGAAAAGGGTAGGTGAGTAGGGGAAGGTTGGTAAGTAAGGTGAGTAGGGAAAGGTAGGGTGAGGTAGTGGGAAGGTTGGTGAGGTAGGAAAAATGTGGTTGAGGTAGGGGAAGGACTGAGTTAGTGTAAGGTGGGTGAGGTAGGGAAGGTAGGTGGAGGTCGGGTATGTAGGAAAGGTGGGTCGAGGGTAGGGGAAAGGTGGGTGATGATGAAAAGTGGGTGCAGGTCGGAAAAGGTAAGTAGTTAGTGTAAGGTGGTGATGTAGGAGAAGGTTACGCTAGAGGTAGGGAAAGTGGGGTGGGTGAGTGGTAGGAAAAGGTGGGTGAGGTTAGGGAAAGGTGGATGTTGTAGGAAAAGGTGGTGATGTGAGGAAAGGGTGGGTTGGTGGAAAGGTGAGTGAAGGTGGAGTAGGAAGGTAAGTGAGTTAGGTGTAAGTGGTGTATGTAGGAAAGGTACGGAGATAGGGAAAGGTGGGGTGGGTATGGGAAAAGGTGGGTGAGGTAGGGAAAGGTGGATGTTGTAGGAAAAAGGTGGGTGTAGACAGTGGGTAGGTAAAAAGTGGGGGTGAGGTAGGAAAAAGGTGGGTGAGGTAGGGAAACGGTGGTAGTAGAAAGGTGTGAGGTTTAGTGTAGAGGTGGTGATGTAGGAAAAGGTACGTGAGGGTAGGAAAGTGGGTGATGTAGGAAAAGGTGGTGAGGTCAGGGAAAGGTGGATGTTGTAGGGAAAAGGTGGGTGATGTAGGGAAAAGTGGGTGAGGTAGGAAGAAGTGGTGAGGTAGGAAAGGTGGGGAGGTAGGAAAAGGTGGGTGAGGTAGGGAAAGGTGGATGTGGAGTTAGTGTAAGGTGGAGGTGAGGTAGGGAAAGGTAGGTGAGGTAGGAAAAAGGTGGGTAGGTAGCGAAAGCGGTAAGTGAGGTTAGGGAAAGGTGGGGCGATGTAGGGGAAGTAGGGTTGGGTGAGTAGCGGAAAGCGTTTGGTGTGAGATAGCTTGTAAGTTGTGTAAGGTGGGTGATATGTAGACAAATGTACGTGAGGTACGGGAAACGGTGGGTGATGTCAGGAAGAAGGGTGGGTGAGGTAGGTGAAGTGGTGGGCGTGTGTGGATGATGCCAGTGTAAGGGGTGGTGGAAGGGTAGAGGAAGGGATAGAGGTAGGTGAGGGTGGGTGGTGGTGGGTGCATGAAGAGGAAAAAGGTGGTTGGGGTAGACGTGGTAGGGAGGGAGAAAGAGGTGTGGAGTGGAGGGGAGTAGGAAAAGGTGGGTGGGGGGGTAAGGGGAGGAGGTGAGGAGAGGAGGTGGCGGGGACACACGGCGCCACGGGTAAGGCGCCAAGTAGCGTGAGGAGAAGGTGGTGGGAAGAAGGGCGTGCGGGTGACGGTGGTTAGGGGGAAGAGGTGTGGGCTGTGGAAGGATGGTTAGCGGGAAGGTGGGTGAGGCTACGGTGTAAGGGTGGGTGAGGTAGGGGCGGTGGGAGGAGGTAGGTTGAGAAAGGGTGGGGTGAGGTAGGGGAAGGTGTGATTGGATTGTGGGGAGATATGGGAAAGAGGGTGGGTGAGTAGGGAAGAAGGTTGGGTGGAGATAGGGGGGGGGGATGTCCAGGATAGGGTGAAAGGTAGGTGAGGCGGGTGTGGTGGGGTGTGAGAAATGGGGCTGATGAGTAAAAGAGAGGTGGGGAAGTTGAGGTAGGGAAAGGTGGGGTGGAGGGTTAGGGAGGAAGGGGATAGATGAAGGTAGGGGAAAAATATACGAGGGTGAGGGGGTGAGGTGCTACGTAAGAGGGTTGGGTGGGAGGGAGTAGGAAAGGTTAGGTGGAGGCGTATGGAGGTGGTGGTAGGGTGATGGTAGGGAAGAGAACGTGGGTGAGAGGGGTGAGTGGTAGGGAAGTAGGTTGGGTGGAGGGAGTGTGTGCTGGTGTGGATGGGAGCAGGTTGGGGAGGTAGGTGGAGGTATGGGAAGGTTGTGAGGTACGAAAACGTGGGTGCACGCCGCTAGGGGAAGTACGTGGGGTAGTGGTAAGGTAGGTGGATGTAGGAACGAAGGTAGGTTGAGCCGTAGGACAAGGTTGGTGACGGTAGGACAAGGTAGGTGAGGGATAGGAAAGGTGGGTGAGGTAGGGAAAGGTTGGTGAGTGGGTAGGGGAGTAAGGGTTGTGGTGGGGTGAGGGTTAGGGGAGAAGGGTGGTGTAGGTGAAGAGTTACGTGGGTACAGGGTCAAGGGTGGGGAGGGTAGGGGGAGTAATGGTAGGTGTAGGTAAGTGTGAGCAGGTGGGTTGAGGGTAGGGAAGGGAAGGGTGGGTAGGGGGTAGCGGGATAGAGGAGTGGGTGAGGTGGGTTGGGTGGGGGTGGGGTGGTGGGTGGAGGAGGGGGAGGAAGAAGAGATAGGGGAGGTCTAGGCGAACGGTTGGTGAAGTGGGAAAAGGTGGGCGATGGTAGGACAAGGTGGGTGAGGTAGGGAAAGGTGGTGATGTAGGGAAAGGCTTGGTGATGCGTAGGTGGAAGGTTGGGAGTAGGAAAAGGTCGCGGTAGGTAGGGGAGAGGTAGCGTGAGGTAGTGTAGAGCGTGGGGTGGGTAGGGAAAGGTAGGTGAGGGTGTGTTGCGAGTCTGTAGAGGTGGTCGGAAGGTAGAGGAAGGAGGTGAGGTGAGGTAGGTGTAAGGTGGGTGATGGTGAGAGGGAAGGAGAGGGTAGGGTGTGGTGAAGGGTGTAGGAGTGGGGTGAGGAGAGTGGTTTGGTGTGGAGGGGTAGGGGAAGAGGTGGGTGGGTAGGGAGGGTGAAGATGGTTTGCTTGAGGGTTATGGAAAGAGGGTTGCGTGAGGGATCAGTAGTGGGGGGATGTGAAGTGGGGTAATGGTCGAAAGGGAGGTCAGGGGTGAGTGTGTGAAGGGCAACGTAGTTGTGTTGGCGATGTGAAGTGATGTCAGGTGTATGAGGGAGTATGGTAGTGGATGTTAGTACTTACAGTCTTGAGGTCGAAAGTGGGGTGGAAGACGGGTCTGCGTTACTGTATCTGGTTCGTTGGAGCATAGCGCAAGCAGGACACGTACGTAAGGAGGTAGGTACGGGTGGGATAACTAATCGGCAGTGGCTTTTGTCGGGAGCGAAAGCTGTTGTGAGGGGGTAGCGTAGCGGGTTCGGAATAGTGGTCCGACGTAGGGGTGTGTGGGTGGGTAGAGAGGGGGTGGAGGGGATACGGGCAGTGGGTTGCAGTAAGGGGGGGGATAGTGGGTGGTAGGCGACTGGCGCGTGGCGGTCGGAGGTCGCGGGGGGGGGGCTGCGTGCACCAGGCTTCCTGAGTGGTGTTGAGGTATCGTGAGGGGGGGATCGGGAGCGGCATTGACAGAGCGGTATATTTGTCCGAAAGGTGAGTAAGAAGAGAGGGAAGAAAATGATGGGAAAAAACTATCAATGGGTGGGATGTGTGAGCAGCAGGGTAATATTGATGGTCGCGAAGGCAGCATTATTGGGCATAATCATGGGAGGCTTGTGGTTGGGGCGGGATGCACGGGGGTTATCTAGATACGCACGCCATTAGGAGGGGTGGGACTGATATGTTGGGAGACCAACGTGTGGATGTGGGCAAAAGGGGAGGCGACAATGGAAGGTTGGGCCAAGTGAAT